GTGTGATTTCTTAAAAGGATTATGAATTTTCCTACAATTGTAATTTGATATTGTTCATGATTAAATTGATTGAAATAATCAACTTGTCATGTAATTAAACTCATGTGTTACGTCATTGAATCTTAAAGAGTTTGCCTTCAAATCCTATTGATAAAACTGATATTATTTATTTTTATGTTATGTGTCTATTATTTTAATTGATTGAGATATCATTAAATTATAATTTGATTATGATTTGTATAAGAATGATAGATTTTAATAAAACATGATCAACTTTTATTTCCATAATTTTTTTCGATATAGCATTTATTGGGAAAATAATTTTCCTAATTTTTAGCATTAGTTTTTTTCCCTTTAAAATTAGCCTAGCAATGCCATAAATATATTTTTTACATATATTTTTAGAAAACATTTTATCATTTTTTATTAATTATTATAATGAGAAAGTTTTTTTTCTTAAATAAGAGAAAGATGTAAACATTAAAGAGCTATGATTTTTTGAAAAAAAAATATAATTGTGTTGTATGATTATTGATAGTTAATTTTAATATTTTTTATTTGTCTTGTATCATTCATTTCCTAAAATGATAAAGCAGTGTTAGTGAGATATATCTTTTAAATATTTTTTGTATGAAGCATTTATTTGTAGATAATATACATAAGATGATATAAAAATTAGTATAGATTTTGACATTAAATTGATGTCTAAAGATACATAACAAGAATGTCATTTTTATAATTAGTGATTTCTTAATTTGAAAAATATACTATATTTTTTATACATCTATTTTGCTCCAGAAGTAGCAATATTTTAAAAAAAATATATTAAGAAATATCCTTAGTTGATTTGTTGTCTCTTGAAGACTAAAACAAAATATTGGGATTTTTTTATGCAAGAGACCATTTTAACTAGCATTATTTCATTCCCTGAAGTGAATGTTCTAATGTATTAATTTTTATCTTCTCATATTCAATTATGCGAGAAATTAATGTTATATGGTACTACAAATATAATTAAAGGCTCTTGAAGAGATAATATATTATTACTAAAAGAAACGAAGTTGCATATTAAAAACGCATTATATTTTTCTAAGTCAAACAAAAACTTATTAAGTTTCAAGGATATTCGTTTAAATGAGTTTCATATTGAAACAAACAATGAAGGGAATGTAGAATATCTTTATATCACGAAACTCCACTTGAATAAAAAGAAGTATTGGAAAAAATATTTGTTTTCTCCTATAGACTGTATTGCACGTATGTTAATACAATTCAAACACATACTATTGTAAACTAGAAGTTTACTAATCAAAATAAATTTGGTGTTTGGCATGATCGATTGGGTCACCCTAGGACTATTATGATGCGAAAAATAATTAAAAATTCATGTGGACATTTATTGAAGAGTCAAGAGATTCTTCAATCAAATATTTTCTCATGTACTGCTTGTTCTCAAGGGAAGTTAATAATTAAACTATCACCAGCAAAAAAATGAGAATGAATCTATCTTATTTTTAGAACGGATACAAGGTGATATTTGTGGACCAATACACCCTATGTGGATCATTAATATATTTTATGGTTTTAATTCATGCATCAACAAGATGATCACATGTTTGTTTATTATCAACTCGCAACCAGATATTTGCGAGACTATTAGCTCAACTAATTATATTAATAGCTCATTTTCCTGACTATCCAATTGAACAAATTCGTTTGGATAATGCTGGTGAATTAACATCTCATGATTTTAATTAGTTGATTTTCCTAACATTATGGGAGAACAAAAATAGCAAGAAAAAGATATTAGTTGGAATGAATTATCACTATCTAATCTTGATCCTCGTACAAAAATAATGTGAACTAGAAGTTCAAAAGATAATTCATTTGCAAAATCTAGCCAACCAATTACCAAATGTATTCACAGATCCAAAAAGGGTGACTAAGTCATATGTACTAGTGGCTAATGCTCCAATAAGAGTCGACGTCCCTGTTGGACAATCTAATACTGCAAACGAGTCACAAATACGCCTGAAGCGTGGTAGACCAATTTGTTCCAAGGATAAGAATCCTCCAATAAAAAAGGGGGTTAAAGAACAAAATGACCAAATTGAGGATATAAAAACTCAAAAAGATTCCTTTGACATAACTAATATTCTAGTTCTAGAAGAAACTCAAGTACTTGAAATTATTGAAAATGAAGATATCTCAATAAATTATGTTATGAATGGAATACGATGAAATCAAAACAATGTCAATATTGATGACGTGTTTGCATATAATATAGCACTAAATGTAATAAATGATATTGAGGATCAAAAACCAAAGTACATCAACGATTGTCGACAAAGAAATGATTGGCCAAAATGGAAAGATGCAATTGAGTCAGAATTAGACTCGCTTGCTAAGCGAAAAGTTTTTGAACCAGTACTACGTACACCAAAAGGTGTAAAACCAATTGGATACAAATGAGTTTTTGTGCAAAAACGAAATAAAAATGGTGAAATTGTGAGATACAAAGCAAGATTAGTTGCTCAAGGTTTTTCACAAAGACTCGATATTAATTTTGAAGAGACATATTCACATGTAGTGGATGTAAGTATTTTTTGATATTTAATTAGTTTGGTTGTACATGAAAAACTTAATTTACACCTAATGGATGTAGTTACAACATATTTATATGACTCTCTTGATGCTGACATTTATATGAAACTCCCAGAAGGATTTAATTTGCCTAACAATGCAATTCCTAGAGACGATTATTCAATCAAGTTGAATAAGTCCCTATATGGGCTAAAGTAATCAGGTCATATGTAGTATAATCGACTTAGTGAATATTTGTTACAAGAAGGATATAAAAAAATCCAATTTGTCTGTGTATATTTATAAAAAGATCTGAAAATGGATTTGCCATAATTGTAGTTTATGTAGATGACATAAACATCATTGGAACTCCTAAAGAGCTTTCAAAAGCAATAGATTGCTTAAAGAAAGAATTTGAAATGAAGGATCTAAGAAGGACAAAGTTTTGTCTAGGACTGTGAATTGAATACTTAGAAAATGGAATTCTTGTGCATTAAGAAGCTTATATAACAAAGGTGCTTAAAAGATCCATTTAGACCCCAAGAAAAGATGAAGAAATACTTGGTCCCGAAGTACCATATCTTAGTGCTATAAGAGCACTAATGTACCTTGCTAATTATACACGACCTGATATAACATTTGCTGTTAATTTGTTAGCAATACATAGTTGTTCACCTACATGAAGACATTGGAATGAAGTTAAACAAATCCTTCGTTATCTTAGAGGTATAATGGATATAGGGTTATTATATTCAAATGTTCACAAACTAGAACTAAATGGTTATGCAGACGTACGTTATTTGTCAGATCCTCATAATGGTAAATCACAAACAGGATATTTGTTTACAAGTGGTGGTACAACCATTTCATGGCGATCTGTAAAACAAACCATATCAGCCACTTGATCTAATCATGCTGAAATTTTAGCATTACATGAGGCAACTCGTGAATGTGTTTGACTAAGATATGTGATTCAACACATACGAAAAACTTGTGGTTTATCTTCTGGAAAAATGACATCGACAGTTATATATGAAGATAATGTTGCATGTATCACACAATTGAAAGATGGATATATAAAGGGAGATAAAACAAAACATATTCTACCAAAATTATTTTTTTACTCATGATCTTCAAAAAAATGGTGATATAAATGTTCAACAAGTCCACTCAAGTGACAACCTAGCAAATCTATTTACAAAGTCACTTCTAAGAAAAGTTTTTGAACAATTGATACACAAGATTGGACTCCGTCATCTTAAAGATTGTATACACGAGGGGGAGAAATAAATATTTATGGATGATGTGTTCTTTTTCCTTCACTAGGTTTTTATCCCACATGGTTTTTCCTAATAAGGCTTTAACGAGGCACATTCTAAATATTGGACATCTAAGGGGGAGTGTTATGAATAATAATTAGTGACTCAATTAGTAGATGCCAATATTCATTATCAATCATTACCATTTATATTTTGTTATGTATTATTCCTTTTTTGTGTAATTATTTAGTTACCACATGTATTTATAAATAAGTTAGTCCTCTCCCAAAAATAATACATCAGTCAGATTATTTTTTTCATCTCATATTGTCTTGCTTGTTCTCTCTACTTTTTGTTTCTTTTATAACACTAAAAACATTTTTGTCTAAGATGAATATTTGTATTTAATATTAAAAATCGATAATTTAAGATTTAGGGTATGAAATATATTAAATTATATTAATTATATATTTTTTAATTCTTTTTAATATAAACCAGTTTAATTAATTTAATAAGTGACATTAACTACAACTGCTAAACCATCAAATCGTTAATCAGATTCCTTGGATAATTGATTCAATTTTTATAAGTCTATTTTTTTTCTTTTATTATACATTCCTTTCACTATCATAATTAACTGTTGGAATAAATACTTTATATTTTGACTACATTCTAAAGTTTTTTTTTTTATCCATAAGAATTAGAGAAATACGACATTCAAACTTAAGTCTTTTTGCTTTTATTTCCAACCCCTTTTACTCTTTCAATTACTAAACTCTAGTGATAACATTCTAACTAAAACTTCTAGTGATAACATTCTGAATAATATACTTCATCATTTAGTGCAAAATAGAAAAGTCATCATGTCTTAAATTTTCATTTCATTTTATTCTACTTTACTTTATTTCATCTGCTTCAATTTATTTAATGTGATAAAAGTTGAAACTGGGAAGATATTCCACCAAAGCTTGGAGCAAAAGAAATTCGCTTTGAAATTTTCAATTTAAATTGAATTCAACCATGGCTTGGAGCAAAAGAAAATATTCCTTTAAGTACATCAATCCAACGGCCATAAACTTCCATAACCCCACTCCATTTCCAAATCAAACGGTCCACGTCTTCTTCCCCTCAAATAAATAAATAAATAAATAATCATTTTCCGAAATTAGGGTTTCAACTATTACATATATTTTCTCCCCCAAAGGGTTTCTATTGTTCACACTCTTCTTCGTCCATTTCCATTTCCAATTCTCTGTGCAGAAGCCATGTCTAAGGGTCCTGGTCTCTACTTTGACATTGGCAAGAAAGCCAGAGGTTTCTCTCTCTCTCTCTCTCTCTCTATATATATATATATATATGATTCTGTTTGGATATTTTAGTTCTTTAGTTTTTTAAAAATCTGCTTTTTGATTGTAGATCTTCTATTCAAGGATTACCACAGTGACCAGAAGTTCACCATCACCACCTACTCACCAACTGGAGTTGTGAGTTATTTATTTATTTATTTATTGTTATTATTATTATTTGCATTTTGAATTTATTTTTAGGACTGATTGAGCCGTGTTTATTTATTTATTTATTTTTGTTGAAGTGTGTGGTGGTGGTTGGGGTGAATGTTGTATTGGAAGATTTCTTGTGTAGGGATTAGGGTTTTTAGTTACTCTTAAAATTTGCGGTTGGGGTATTTTTTTTTGACTCAATAACTCTATTTCCCCCTGGTGTTTAAAATCCCGATCTTCCTTAAATTGGTATCATGCTAATGAATAATCCTTAAAGATGTGGAAAATAAAGAACCAAGGAGATAGACCCGTTATGCCACTTTTGGTTCCCTCTTCAGGTATCTGAGGTCTTAGTAAAGGGGAAAAAATGCTTGAACTGTGCCAACACTGGTTTAATTCTGGTCAAGATACTAGATATTCAAATCTGTTTGATGATTTCATACACAATGATTCAAATTATTTGTTTATTTGTGAGCTTATTCAGGTTTTTCCTTCTGTTGACTTTTATGTATTTATCGAATTTTATTTGCTACCACTGTGTGTGCTCAATGATTGCTACCGTGTTAAGTTTCACATTTGCTACCATTGTGTGTTCTCAATGATTGCTCATTGCTACCACTGACCTGTTGCTTGTCTAAATTATTAACATTATTTGAGGTGAAATTGAAGGGTAACATGCGTATCTACTGCATCTCCAAACATACTGCATTGACTTTTTCCAATTTTTACTTTTAGTTCTCGAATTTTTCTCTCATTAACATTTTAGTTCATGGTGTCAAAAAATTTTGTTCATGAAGAAAACTTCTGGAGACTAAAACTAAATAAAATTTGTTAGTTAGTTACTCTTAATAGTTAATGCGGTTGGGGTATTTTTGTTGTGGTTTGTTAGTTACTCTTAAAATTTGCGGGGCTTGGATTATTGTAAGGTGATGGTGTGTTGTTCTGATTTCTGAGAATGACATTGACTATATCTGTGTCTTGTGCTGCTTCAGGCTATAACATCCTCAGGGACCAGGAGAGGTGACCTTTTTGTGGCTGATGTTAACACCCAGTTGAAGAACAAGAACATCACTACCGATGTCAAAGTGGACACTGATTCTAATGTAAGTTCAACCTTGCTGTTTGGAATGTTTTGTTCTTCTCTGTACTTTAGGGCCTGCAAAAATTGTGAAACTAATTTTGGTGGTGGATATATGTTTTACTACTACCCTTGAGAGGTGGGATTTTGGTTGGTTTCGATTTGTTGGTATATGTTCATGTTGCGGAAGTGATAAAATGGTCACTTCTGGCTGCCTTTTTCAAGGTGTTTATTTCTGATTTCTAATAGTGTGTTTGGGAACCTGTTTGCAATTTTGCATTTGCAAATGTGAGTTTTTGTTTTCCAAAGCATAAAATGAAGAAGCAAGAATTTGTGTCTTTCATGTTCAACATCAGTTTCCATCGATTCAACCGGCAACCAAAGACACTATAATTGTTTTCAAACCACACACTCAACTTTTTCAACTAGTCCACTTGAGCCCTGCTAACTACTTATTTGTAATTTAAGCTAAAAGGGATGTGAGGTAGAACTGCAGTCTAATTTTCCAACATCACTATATCAAATTAAGAGATTGGCTAAGGAGATTGAAACTAGATACTTTTAGAATAAATTCCCAAGTTGATAAATATTGTAGAATTTAAATTGGGGGGCTCTGGTTACATGCAGGCTGAAATTGAAGTGTGTTTTTACATGTTCCCCCTCCTTTACTGTATCTGTTTGTCTGTAATTATGCCAATATCCTTGATATTCATATCCATTCAATACAAAAGAGTTGTTTGTTCTAATTTTAATTTCAGCTTCAGTTGGCTGAGGAACCCTGTCGGTCCTTCATGTCTGCATATATGACTATTAAAATTCATAATTTACTACAGATATCCAATGCACTATGCCTAAACTTGATTTACATGTGACCATTAGATTGATGGGGATATTTGAGGAATTTTGTTTGTACAATTTGTGCATCTTAACCTGCAATTTATTTGTTTAAACTTTAAAGCCAGCATCATGTCAGGCTAATTCTTGTGCTTGGTGATTGATATTGAGTAATCTCAACCAAAATCATATGCTTCCTGCTTCTATATCAGTTTGCTTTTATCTTATTAATTTACCCAGACCTGTTCTATTAAATGTAATTTCACTGAAGTTGATAATGCATTTGCATTGCAGCTTTTCACAACTATCACTGTTAATGAGCTTGCTCCTGGTCTGAAGACCATTCTTAGCTTCAGAGTTCCCGATCAAAGGTCTGGAAAGGTGAGATAAGTTGGTAACTTTGTATGATAAGGTTTGATTCTTCACAGGAAAGCATGATATGATTTACTAAATTTGAGAAACAAACCTCGTCATGAAACAGGTGGAAGTTCAGTACCTGCATGACTATGCTGGAATAAGCACCAGTGTGGGTTTAACAGCCAACCCAATTGTCAACTTCTCTGGCGTTGTAGGAACTAATGTACTTGCCCTTGGTACTGATCTTTCTTTTGACACCAAAATTGGGGAGTTAACTAAATTCAATGCTGGATTGAACTTCACCAAAGATGATTTGGTTGCCTCATTGACTGTGTAAGTAATTTTTGTCCCTTTTTTAGAGGATGCCTCTAATTGAAGTGTCAGCATTTGTTTCATTTGGTCACTTCGCCTTCTATAAGTTTAAGTTATCCTTTACATTTGAGAAAGAACTTTGGAATTTTTAAATTGATCTTGAGCTTGTTCTGCTTGTTAATGATTTGGAGAGAAGTACTGTTGCAGTTTTCTAATGCTTCAGAGCTGATTAGCAAACCTTCTGAAGCTCCATTTTTCAGCAGTTCTTTCTTTCCACTTCCCCCCCCCCTCCCCCCCACCCTTTTAGTTGTCTGTATACATGCTTCTGGCTTCTGGGATAAGGTTACTGTTGTTGTTGTTGTCGTCATCTATTTGCATGTACTGACTTCACTCAGTGAGATAAAGTTTTGAGCCTGTTTGAATACGAGTTTAGAAGAGTTTCTGAAAGCTTTTCTACTGAAAATGAAGAACTTTTTTCAGCATAGGAACTCTGAAAAGCTCTTTTTAAGCTTGTAGCTAAGCAGGCTCTTTGTTGTATTATTTTCCTATTTGAATATGCTGAAAAACTCTTTTTCTCAGGTCAATTGTGTTTTAACTGATTGATAATATGAGCTTACATGTTTGGTGGTATGATGAATTGTTGTGTGCAGGAATGACAAAGGTGATACCCTGAATGCTTCATACTACCATGTAGTCAATCACTTGAGCAACACAGCTGTTGGTGCTGAGGTAAAACACAGATTCTCAACCAATGAGAACACCCTTACACTTGGCACCCAGCACGCGTTGGACCCCTTGACCACTGTGAAGGCTCGTGTCAACAACTTCGGCAAGGCAAGCGCTCTCATCCAGCATGAGTGGCGCCCCAAATCCTTCTTCACCATTTCTGGGGAGGTTGACACCAAGGCCATTGATAAGAGTGCGAAGGTTGGATTGGGTTTGGCTCTCAAACCCTAGGGAATTAATTTTGAGCCATTATGGCAAGAGCATTGAGGTAGGCATTAGGAAAGCACATAGTTGTCTGTTGGACTGAATTGTTTGTTTGAGGTTGGTTGTTGTTTTGAACGGAAGTGTTCATCATATTTTGATTGCATTTGAGCAATTCAAGGTTGTATAAATAAGTGATAGACTATTTCTATAAACCAAATGTTACTCGTAAATGAACACGAGATTTTGCAAATATCCTTTGATATGGGGAATCATTCTCATTATTGATGTTTTAACCCGTCAGATTCATAATTAGTTTTACAGGTGGAGTGTATCGATGGAAATTGAACTCCTGCATTTAGAATTGACAAATGTTAGTGATAGTACTTTTTAGACACATTTTGAACTATTCTGACTGATTTTGTTTTGGAAAATATAATTTGAGGGTCTAACTTATTTAATTAGTCTTAAAATTTGGTAGTATCTAATAAATTTAAATTAAGTGTTATTGTTTTTTTTTTTTTAAATTGAGAAAACTATCTTTCTTGTTGAATATTATTTATTATTGCTTAAAATTTATTAGAGATTATGAAATAATGGCTGGGAAATCATTAAATAAGGAATTTAAATTATATATTTGTTGATTTTTAATAAATTTTAGTTAATAAAAAAGGGTGGTTAGTATTTCTGTTAGAATTTATATTTTGTAGCTTATTCAATTGATATAAAGTATAAACTCGTACAAACATTTTGGGACGTTTTGTATTTTATGATTTGAAAGCTGTCATACTCATTCGCCTATTCAATAGTACTCGTTTGGTTTTAGGAGCAAAGTGCAGTCACAGGGATAGTTTCCAGTTGAGATGAAAGATTTCACTTTTTCTGTCGAAAATAGTTGATTCTACACACGATACTTCTTGTTTAATCATTACACGAGACCTATTAAATATATATGTGGACATTTAAAAGTGATCTTGTTTTATTATTCAAATAAAATCAACTTATTTCTAGTATTTTTTAAATAAAATTTATTTGATCTTTTGTTTACGTGTGATGAGGAAGAACATTATAAATGTTGTTATGCTGCTTTCGGTTTCTCACTGATGTCTACTTTTTACAAGTTTGTAGGCTTTGGCATTGTAGGGGCACCCATTTACATTGTCCTTCACCCCTCTATTTTTGCTTGTATTTTTTCCCCCAAAATAACAGAATTTGTGACATCATATATCTCACATGTAATAGTACATAATATATTGAATAATTGAATAATCTCAAATATAATATATAAAGTATAAACTTCAAATCAGGTAGAGATAATCACATTTTAATATAAACTAAATTCAGTAAAAATATTAAATTATAAAAGAATTAAGATTTAACTACTCAAATTAAATAACAAATCAAATTTTAACTAATCTTAATTTATTCCTTGATGTCATGTGTTGTATTAAAGTATAATCTTTCTAAGAAAACTAAATCTTGTCACCAACATCTAGCCATGACAACGGGGCGGGGGCTGGTATTAACATCCTCGTCCCTGCCCCCGATTTTATCAATTGAAGAGATCCGAACTCGAACCCGAACCCGATAAATATGGGTTTTTCCAGTCCAAATTGGGGCGGGTACTCACGAGGACGGGTTAGATTGTCATGCCTACCAACATCCTCAACATCATGCTGAAGATCACTTGCAATAATATAAAAAAAAAGTAACACAAAACAAAGGAAGTGAGAAACATCTCGCTCTTACTCATAACATAAGATGCAGTCAGACAATCAAATGCAAATAAGACATATATCAATATAATATAAAAATATCGATCATATAACATATTTCATTCATTCACAATATAACAACTAAATATCAAATAATATTAAAATTTACTTTATGAACATTTATCTTACCCCTAGAAATAAATACTTTTCTCTAGATTTTATTATTATATTTTTTACAAATGAAAGAAAACTCTTTTTGTACCTTTTTTTTATAAAAGAAACGATTTTTATAAGAATTTAAACTAGCAAATGACTAGTCGTTAAATTCTCAAATTTGATAACATTAAAGATAGAATTAACGTTATCGTTAATAACCATGGTTGACTCCTAAAAAAAGACAATTTTTATCTTTATGCTCAAAAGTTTATGATAACAAAAGACTATTCTGTAAACTTTTATGTCCACATGATATCGAAGGTAAAAATACTTCTCAATTAATATCATGAACTATTGCATAAGATAAGATAATTTACATGTAAAATAGCCTCTTTTTATTTTTTATTAAAAGAAGAAAAATTTGGATAAAGATTTAAGTTAGTAAATAGCTAATCATTAAAACCTCATGTCAACGTTAAAGATGAAAACATCATCCAAATAATGCTATTAATTGTTGTGTTTATTCTTTTAGTATTACTAATCTAAAAGATAATGATTTCATATTTTGATATTATTCATAGACAAGGATTTAAGTTAGTAAGTGACTAGTCATTACACCCTCATAACCAAATAATGTTAATGATAAAATTGTTATTCAATTGACATTATTAATCGTTTAAATATTAGAATAACTTTTTTTATAAAAAAATATTTTATCCCATATACAAAATTCATTATAGTAAATGATTATTCTATAGACTCTTATGATTTAAATAATGTTTAAGAATAAAAATTATCACAAAAATAAATTTGTCGTACAAGTTAAAATATTATTCATTAATACAACATTACACAAAATATTAAAGGAAACCTTTTCGTAAAAAAAAATCAATTTTATATTCCATATTCAAAATTATAATATTTTGATGAGAAAAAGAAAAATGAAAAGGAAACTATGGATGTAAATGATATCACATATACGTTATCAAATTATTCTCCATACCCGAAATCTAGAAATAAAAGGAAACAAAAAACGTACCATCTTATAGCTTAAAACAAAGAACGTTGAAGCTACCTAATCCATTTATATTGTTCTCGTAATATCGTTTCACATTAATTCACAAAAAGAAATATTACTCCATGATTACTTTATGCGAGTTATGTTACTGCTATCTCATTCTTGATATTTGTGAAAATGCATATTAATACTTTTTAAACTTCTATATTTGGATTATATGAGACAAAATCAAATAACAACAGAAAAAGATAAACGACATATTTATTGACATCTTAAAAGAAAAATAAAATAAAATAACACACGTAACTTCTGACAGAAGTGTCATTCATAAGGGTATATGTTTACAAAAAAACCAACTGATATGTTACTTAAAAAATGAATAGTTAGCTGAAAAATGGAAAAAAAAAATTAAAAGATGGTGGAAAGTTGATAAAAGTAGAAGTATTTGTTAAATTAAAGGTGGAATTTTATTAAATTAAATAACATAATATTACGGAAGTGTTATTAAATATTGAGGATAAAAGTGATAAGAATGATAAGATACAAATTATTAGTTAAAAAGCTTCGTATAAATAAAATGAAAAGATCTTAAGCTAATAAAAAAAGTTTATTTACTAAGTAAACAAATTTACAAGCTAATTACAAACAATTTATAAATTAATTAAAATATCTTTCCTCTCTTTCAAACAAATCATAAATCTCAGTAGTGATATGAAATTGAGTAATAGCAATAATAATAAATAAAAAAAAGTTGTAATCACATTGACTGAAAAATAAAAAGCTGACAAATAAAGTGACACTTAAAGAATTTATTTGGATATAAACTTAAAAACATTTTTAAAAAAATTCCTTATTGAAAAATACTCTTTATTGTTAATAAAAAAACTATCAAAATTATTTTAATTTATATCCAAACAGCCTCTATCAATAATTCCAACATTGCATCAGATGCTAAGTTAGGCACACGAAACTTAACTACTTGGCAGAAGCTACAATTCAAACCAGTAATCACTATCATATTAAGCCAATAGAAGCTGAACAACAGTCAACAAAACACCAGAGAGAAAAACAGCTAGTCCAGTAACACGACTTATATCGATAGTAAGCAAATAACTAACTAATAGGCATCTACTAACAAACTCTTCACTGTCTTCCAACTAATTACGTTTCTAATAAGTATGATTTCGCATATACATTAGGAAAAACTAAGGGGCACTTTCAAGAAGCCAAGAAGAGAGAGGTGAACTAAATTGTATACATAGAGCACTGCAAATTTACACATTCACTTCCAACTTACAAGATAGGAACCAAAAAAAGAAAATCTTACGGGAAGCAATTGTTATATAACAAAGCCTCCAACAGTATGATTGACAAGCAACTAGACAATAAAACAGGAATTCAAAACTGCACATCAGCACTTCAGGTATAAAAGTAAACACACTGCTATAAGAGTAAAGACGCAGACATTCAAAGTTTACACACAGCATTTCCTGACAAAATCTGACACATACTATTTGTTATTTACAGCCCCAGGAAAGCTTAATTTGTCGCGCTTGCCTGAAGAAGACCATCCCGAATCTGCACAGCGATGTCCTTAACCGCACCAGGACCGTGTGGTATGAACACTGATGAAGACTTTGAAGATGCCCCTATCTCCTTCATGGTGTCAAAGTACTGAGTCACCAGCACCATGTCCATGACGTCTTTAGCTGTTGTCCCGGGCACATTCTCAGAGAATGCAAGAACACTGTCCCTCAGTCCATCCACAATGGCCTGACGTTGGCGAGCTATACCGAGTCCTGACAGATATTTGGATTCTGCTTCTCCCTCAGCTTTCTTGATCTGCAGAATTTTTTCCGCTTCAGCCTTCTCATTTGCAGCCAACCTCAATCTAGCAGCTGTTGATAAAATAGTGTTAAGATAATTCTGTTTAGATATACTAGTTTATCTTCTCCTAATTCATCCTTAGTCAGTTTTATCTAAATTCCTAAACTTTAGGGATTGATTATATTTTATGCCTATTTATTTTATTGTACTCATTCAAATTCATAATAAGAAATTATTCATATTCAAGTTGGTACCAGAGCACTCTGGTCCAGGAACCCTAATCCAGCAGCCAACATCTAGGGTTTCTAGGGTTTTTTAGTTTTGTCCGCGGTTGCCGGAGTTGACACCGCCTGCACACTCAGAGGTCGCCGATCGGCCTCCCCGTCGCGTGCCGCCGTCAGCCGCCGTCTCACGCGCCCTCACAGCCTCCGTTTGCGACGCGGTTCACTCCGTTGGACTCGCCGGCCCTCCCTCTTCCCGTTTTGACCCTTTTCAGGTTGTGGGTCACACTCTAGGTGGTCTGTTGGTGGTCGTTTGGTTGCGGCCTCAGAGTTTCATGGTTGTTTGGTTGCTGCCTCGAAGTTCTGTGGTTGTTTGGTTGCTGTCTCGGAGTTCCGTGGCTGTTTGGTTGCTGTCTCGGGGTTCCTTGGTGGGTTGGTTGCTACCTCGGAGTTCCGTGGTTGATTGGGTGCTACCTCGGAGTTTCGTGACTGATTGTTTGCTGTTTTTCTTCTTTTTCTCTTCATGGCAGAGATTCCTAAGGAGAATCCAAAAATTGAATCTTCCAAAAGGGGGCTGGTCTCCTTTGCCTTTTCTGGATCACCTACTATTACATCTGAAAAGCTTAATGGTAAAAATTATTTGGATTGGTCCACTGCGGTTGAAATGTGGTTTTTAGGTCAGGGTCTCTATGATCATCTTACTAAAAGGGCGTCCGAAATTGATAAAGAGGTGAGAGATGAATGGCAACGGGCAGATTATCAACTTGTATCTCTATTGTGGCAGTCCATTGAGCCTAAATTAATGGTGCATTTTCGTCCGTACAAGACATGCTATGATATTTGGAAGAAGGCTCGAAATGTCTATGCCAATGATATCCAAAGAATATACGAGTGTGTTCATGGTCTGGCAACTCTTCGTATGGTTGATAATGATTTGCCAACGTATTTGAATCGTGCTCAATCCACTATTGATGAGCTCAAGCTAATGTTGGTTAGTGATGATCCTCAACAAATATTAAACAAACTTGATAATATGTTTATGGTGTTTATCCTTCAAGGACTCCACAAAGATTACGGATCTGTTCGAGATCAAATCTTGACAAATCCTGTCATTCCTACAGTAGAAGAACTCATAGATCGACTGATTCGGGTCCCTTCACCAGAGGCAGATCCTCACACAGAATCTGAGTCCTCTGCTTTTATCTCTAGTACAGCTGACCGTGGAAGTCGAGGGCGTGGTCGAGGTCGTGGTCGTGGTAAAGGGGGTAGAGGAAACCTCCATTGTACCTACTGTCAGAGAGATGGACATACACGAGACAGGTGTTATTCCTTGCATGGCTTTCCGAGCAAGACAGCTAATGTGGTTCAATCTCCAACTTCAGCTCCAGAGCTCAAGATTGAACCGGAGGGCAATCATCCAATCACATTATCTACCGATGATTACCAAGAGTATCTTCAATTGAAGGCAACTAAACAGGCCTCCTCTTCCATCACTGTTGCTCATACTGGTAATTCTACAGTTTGTCTCTCTCATTCTACTTCTATTGGACCTTGGGTTTTGGACTCCGGTGCTTCTGATCACCTAACTGGTAATGTCTCCCTTTTCCCTAACCTATCATCACCTAAAACTCCACACCATATCACTCTTGCAGATGGGTCAAAAGTTCAAGTCACTGGTATTGGCCAAATATCACCTCTCCCATCACTACCATTAAAATCTGTTTTACTAGTTCCTGGATATCCCTTTAATTTGAATTCTATAAGTAAGTTGACTCGGTCACTAAACTGTGTCATAACCTTCACTTCTGATTCTTTCTTGATACAGGACCGGAGTACGGGACAGACGATTGGAGCCGGATCTGAATCACATGGTCTCTACTACCTTCAGCCTTCTACCTCTACCATATGTGCATCTATTGAGTCTCCTGGTTTAATTCATCGTCGCCTGGGTCATCCAAGCTTGAATAAATTAAAGAAAATGGTACCTCATCTCTCACGGTTGGTGTCCTTAGAGTGTGAGTCGTGTCAATTAGGGAAGCATGTTAGAGCATATTTTCCTAATAGTATTAATAGTCGAGCTATGTCTCCTTTTGAGATCTCCAACAAATGAGGTTGAGCATTCTAGGTGGCATAAACCCTACCGAATCCAACGTATGACCTATCTCAACCAGGTCAGGTATAAGACATCGTTAGGAACTCCGAAGAGAACCAGGTACAGACAACAATAGGTGATTTCTCAGGTGTACCACTCAGACTCGGAGGTCTAGTACTACTGTCAGGACAAAAGGGTTTGAGTGTAGGCCTACCACGACCTTGGCTTGCATCACCAATCCACATATGGAGTTAGCCTACCCACTGTCCTCCAAGTACCACGCACCCTCTATTACCTAGTTAAAGACTACATCTCTAACTAGATACCTTACTCAATTGGTCATTCAACCATGACATGAATCGACTACTTCCATGCTGCCCTCACAGTACTAAAGGATTCAACTTTAAAAATAACGTTCAACTTATCACCTTAGTACTAATATCTTAACATAGGACATATATCTTAGCCATATATCTCAACTTGACAAGTTCACAATGTAATGTCTTAAATTTCAGATACAATATTATCAATTTTATTATTATTATACTCTCCTTAAAATAGTAGTCTAAATTTTTAGTTAAAAAAAAAAAAAGAAATATATATATATATATAAAGAGAGAGAGATAATAAGTGCAATATTTTATAATTACAATACATTAAAATTTTTATTACAATTTCTTTTAGTAAAATAAAATAGAATCATATAATATTTATTCCCAATTTTATTATTATTATCTTATTTTTTAAAAAATAAAATTCTTAAATTTTAGTTACCATATTTTAATAAATATATAAATAGTGATATTTTATTTTTGATACCTTATAAAATTTTATATTTCTGGTAGAAAAAAAAAAAATACAGAATATTCAATTATATTAGAAATATTTATAATAACTTAATTATTATAATTACATGTGAAACAAATTAGATATATTATAATTTATATAATACATACATGTAAAGTAGAATAGTTCAGTGACTTGTTTAGTGGTGCATAAGAATTATAAGTTACAAGTCACAGATTCAAGAGATAAAACCTACACTTCATAAAGCCACGTAATCCATAAAGCCATCTGCGTATAATTAAATAGCTTTTCTTTAAAAATAAATAAATAAAAAAATAAAACCTGCACTCCGTAAAATTCAATGCACTCAGTAAAATTCAATTCAATTGATAAGATAAGATAAAAATATCTGCTACAAAGATTCTTATATATCTATTAGTAACGAGAAACTTTAATAACTTTGTAACTAAACTAAAATCTAGTTAAAATTGTAGTAAAAATCTAGCAAATGTAATCATTACATTAGTGCCTATAAATAGGCCTTACCTGAATGAATCAAAGGGAACAAGAGGTTACTAAGACTTGTGGGTAGAGAAAAAAAAAGTGAGGTTACTGAGACTTGTGGGTAAAAAAAAATGGGAGGTTACTAAGACTTGAGGGTGGAGAAAAAAATCAAATCAAGAGAAAGAACAAAGATTTTGAGTGATACTATTTCAAATATTAAGGTAAGGGGGAGGAGAACTTTATCTTTTAAAAATTTTATATGATATTATGTTTATTTATTTATGTTATATTTTATGTGTATTTACTTAGTGAAGTGTCCCTAACTTCACTTACTTGTTTAATCTATGATATTTTTTACTCTTAATAATTAATAAGGTGTTTATAGTTTATGTTTAATTATTTTATAATGACTATCACTGTCATTTACTTGATTGGTACTCTGAAAATTCTAAGGTTTGTTGCAATATTTCTGGCTAAAGTAACTGGTTGTCACCTTGAGTGTGATTTGCGACAAGGTTTGCAAACTCTAAGGCCGTTCTTAGGCCGGTCGTACTTCAAGCACTCCCTATGTTTATGCTTTCATGCCCCCAAGTTGATGGAATAATACTAAGGCCGAGAAGACCAAGAGGTGATATACTAAAGGAGGCAAGAGGAATGGGATAGTAAGGCCATTTTTGGACCTTAGCTCCTAGGTTTTATAGCATTTATTTCTTTATTCCTATTTTGCCCTTGTCTTTAATTTCCTATTTTACCCTTGTATTTTGGGGTATTTTAGTCATAGAATTTATTTTACTTGTATTTCCAATTTTACCCTTGTATTTTGGGGTGTTTAGGACTTAGAATTTATTTTCTTTTGTATTTCCCATTTTACCCTTGTATTATGGGGTGCTCTAGATTATTAGGGTTTTTAATTTTGGGCTAGGGTGTTAATTAGAGGGTGACACATTTTTGGTGCTTATTGGGTCTATTTTTGGTGTTAGAAAGGCTTAGGCCCAAGTGGAGGGCAAAGGTTGCATGGTCTTATCATGCACCTAGATATAGCCAATCTAAACCCAAAGATTCCATCCTTGGCCACCAAGTTGCATCTAGGGTTCATTTGCATTTCATTTGGAATGCATTTGCCTACTCCAAATGCAACCCTAGATGCCTCCCCTCCTATAAATACCCAACACCCCACCACTTGTAAATACTTTGGAATATATAGATTTTGAGTGAGCATTTTATGCCTCAACATCTCTTCCTTAGTCACTAGGTTGGATTCGTCTAACCCCCTCCTATCTCCACCCTTGGAGAGTAGGAAACCTAGAGTGGCCTCCACCTTCACTTGGAGTGAGCCAACCGTGTGTAAACCCCTAAACTTTAGGGATTGATTATATTTTATGCCTATTTATTTTATTGTACTCATTCAGATTCATAATAAGAAATTATTCATATTCAAGTAATAGTATAAAGGATGAGGATATAATCATGATCCACGAAAGGCCTATAAGAACACATGCTGCAAAACACAGATGTTTGTTTGGATGCAATACTGCAACTTTTAAATAATAATTTATTTTGGATTTAATGGTCATGCCCTGTCAATGAAAAGCTTTTGCATTGCCAACCAATCAAAAACTACTAAAATATGACTATTAAGTTAGTTATTGTAAAAGTCGATAAACTTACTATATATGATAGTTATTATAAAAGTCAATTAACTTACTATATATGATAGTTATGATAGTTATTATAAAAGTCAATTAACTTACTATATATGATAGTTATCGTAAAAGTCGATAAACTTATCATTTATGATAGTTTGTAATTGGATGACAGTATAAAAGCGTTTTAAACTGTTAGCTTGTAGCCTTTTTTCTCATTTATTTTATGCTGAAATTTTTCTGTTTTTTGGGATCAAAACTTAGGTTACATGATTAAAGCTACTAAGAAAACCATATTGCAAATATGCTTATACACAAAATCTGTTCCATTAAAAACCAACACAAGAACTAAGAAACCGGAAGTACAACAACTGCAACATGTATTGTACATCTTATGCAATGTAAAAGTAATTTGATACAGGAATTGCAACATAAGTGTATTCACAACTATGTAGCAAAATGTTTTTTTTTTTTTTTCAAGGAACTAGAAATATTACCTGCATTAATCTCGTTCATTGCTCTCTTGACATTAACATCAGGCTCTATATCCACAATGAGGGTCTGGACTATCTCATATCCATAAGTTGACATGGCCTAAAACATTAAGGTTGAATTAACTTGTTAATAAGGATGATTAAAATTTACAACCTTCAATGGTCTACTAATGAATATTTTATATTAAGTAAGAGAACAGAAAAGTGAATATTGAAAAGAATGAACACCTTCTCAAGCTCCTCCTCTACAGCCTTTGCGATATCATTTTTCTGCTCAAAGACAGAATCCAACTCCAATTTTGGTACACTGGCCCTGATAACTAAAGAAATGCAAAATATTAGTAAACTGCTTTACAAATGACATCTGTAACACCCAATTTTTCATAATATATAATATAAGTATTTTATTAATAATTTTGATATTTTATTTTATTAAAAGGGGCTGTTAAATATTTGTTTTAATTATGTCATATATTTTAGAATATATAATATGATACTTTATTAAAGAATAATATAATATATATTATTAAAAAGGGAAGGGATCTTTAGGATAACTGTGGTTAGTGTGTTTTAACACAAGGTTAGATTTTTTTAAAAAAGAGGGGTTTTCTAATCAAACCCTAAATCCTAAACCCTTTTTAGGACTATATTTTCATGTATGCGTTTCAGAGCTCAGAGAACAAGAGCAGAAAGGAAATCACCCCGAAGTCTTACACCCGTCATCTAGAGTTTATCCAGGTAAGGGGAGAGTGAGAAACCTCGCTCTAGATGTGGGTTTGTATGCCAGATAATGGGATTAATCTTCAATCCTGTGTTTGTTGCATATTCATGTATGACGGATTTTTTCTAATTGTAATGCATAGAGTTTGTTTGCCATGCATCATGTGCATAAAATGTTTTTGTAAGATACGATATGAAATGCACTGCCAGAGAAGGTCCCTAGTGTGAAAGCTTGGGAACTAACCTTGGGGATAACTTGGTTTGGAAGTCCCAATCCTACCCTCATGAGCATGAAATGTATCTCGCACAACCTAGCTATCCCGCCGATCAAACCCTGATAGTATGTCCTAGTAAAAATACGTCGAGGGTGTGACCAGACATGTATTCCTAGACTACTCTAGTGTGTTGCTAGTAGTAATGCACAAATGTTATGTTTTTACTGGCACCACATGCATGATAACATATAATTCATGTCTATTACATATACATTATAATTATATATGTTGTTGTTTATTATGTTGTGGATAACCTAAGTATGATGATGTGTAACTGTGAATGTTATATCATGTTGTATGTGTTGTTTTTGTTTGACTAACCGGTTTGCATTCTTATACCGTGAGTTAGAGTAAAATGTTTATCACTCTCTTTTTCTTTGTGTTGTTTCCTTGTGAATTGTGATTGTTACAAGTGATCATCAACATAGTGTTAAAGACGTTGGTGATGAGACATAGTCCTCAATGTTGGGTCATTTTGATAGAACATGTGACATTGGGGAATAGTTAGGACTAATTAGAATTTGATTCATGATATTTTATTTCCTTTATAATTTGTTATTTCCTCTAAGTTTAGTTATGCTAAAATGTGATTCTTTTTACCTGTATAAATTTTGAGTTTATTTATTACATTGAGGTTAATCAGATTATATTATTCATATGTTATGGTATGCGGGGTAAAGGGTGTCACAATAGTCATCTACAAACCGAGTAAATTAATCCATGTGAATGAAATAATTGCATTACACACCATTTCAAAACAGAATGAAGTAGAAAATTCATCCTACATACCATCAAACACGTATGATTGGATCTGCTCCCGTGTGTTGGTAAGCCTATAGAATGCATCAGAAGCTTTCTCAGACACAGCACGATATTGCACAGATGCAACCACAGTGACAAAGACATTATCCTAACAAGTTAATAACAGTCAAACTTTAACAACAGATCATGATAAATCACATAGGAATTATCATCCACATTTAGAATGAAATGATGTTACAATATCATAATAAATCACAGGAAATTTCCTGAAGCATAAATCCAAAGAAAAAATTGATCAAGAGGAATACAAAGAGGATAGGGAAAAATGAAGAGCATTCAAAATTCAATCTCAAATTACAGAAAGTTTTATCCATTATAAAGACCATTAACAATATATATTACCAATAAAACTCTTTCTGTGAAGTTAATAGAATGGAAAACTAGAAATTCACTGGTAAATCTTTCAAGAAAATTATTATTTCTGTCATTTAAGTATAAGCAGGCAAATGTTGAGAATGGAACGTTTTCAGGATAGTAAATAGAGTAACTAGAAATCATATTAACAAAATAATTGTTCCTGGTAAGAGTAAGGCAAACTAAAGAACAGCACCATGAAACAAGGTAGGTGGAGGAAAAGAAGGTGCAGATACCTTTGTTTTTGTCTCACATCGAACATCAAGTTGCTGCACACGCAGTGACAAACGACCAGCAATCTGATACCCAAAACACCAAGGCAGGCAATGACATCCAGGTTCTAGAACATCAGAAAATTTTCCGAAGTGCTCCTTGATAGCCACATTTGACTGATCTACTTGATAACAACCGAATGCTTGACCCATCCTTCAATTCTGTACTACAGTAGAAGTATTCATCAAACTAAATTAAACTTGGTGAAAATTTGTATTTTGCTTCCACCATTCTGTTTTAAGTTCAAAAATTCACATCACCAGTTCGCCAAGAAAGTATTATAGTAAAATCTGAAAACACGGGTAACTATAGAAAGTTATATAGATGAGATTCATGAGAATCATGAAACAGTACCATCAAGGATGAACAAGTAGCGGGAGATTTGGATAATTTGCCAAAAGTTCAAAAATTCATAAGTGTAATTACAAAGAAACAGTGGGTAAAAAACATAAATACGGGAATAAAGATTCATAACCAAAAATATAAATATTGCAACATAAATCAAGAGAATAAAGGCAACACAAGCTTTTATTTTCACACGAGGCTTTTTTCGGAGAAAGAAACAGAATAGAACTGAAAAATTACAGTCTTCAAGGACCAGAAATCCTCCTTTGTATTCCTAAGAATTATGCAGAAAACCAGAAGAACAAAAACAGTACCCTAAAAAGTCAGAAACAGTGAAAACCGAATTGTCTATCAAATCTTAAAAATACCCAAATTTAAAAAAAAAAATGCAGAAAAAAATCAAACCCCCACGAAAAAAAAAAAAACAAAACCAGCAATTTTGGGCTTATCCCAGAAAGCAAAAACAAAAATGAACTCAATCCCTTTTTGACAAAAAAGATTAAAAGAACACAATTCAATACCATATCATGTGCATGACACACAAGAAAATTGAAAGGGCAAAAGCGGTTCGTTTTCCAGCATCCAAAATCAAGAAAAAAAGAGAAGAAATACACCTTTTCGGAGAGAAACGCTGTATTGAATCTTAGTATCAATAACCCCCTGCAAGTAGATGAGAAGTGGAAAACACACTTGCTTATAAATTTAAATTTAATTAGTGGATGGAGATTCCTTGTATATTTTATTTAATAATTAAAAGAGTTGAAGTATTTTGTATTTTTATAAATTATAGATAATTATTAAAGAGGATTTCTTTTCGAGAGTTATAATAGTTTACTAAAAAATAAAGACTAAAAGATAATTATTAAAATATATTTCATTTATAATATATATATATATATATTTTAGTGGAAAAAAGATATTTCATGTTATTGTATTAAAAGATAAAAATAAAAAAAATATAAAACATAATTACACAGCAGCCGCATAATCATACAGTTACAATTTTGTGAGTCTAACACATCCTAAAATTATTATTTATAGTTAGTCATTTATAATAATTATAAACATTCAAAACTCCATTTTAAATATACATTTTATATACTTAAATTATATATATTTTTGTTAAAATACAAGTTTGGTCTATTATGTTATTTATTTGTGTTTAGATTTGATCTTTTAATATTTTTTTAAAATTTTTCTTACACATACACATATATATATATGATGAGAGTTCAAAAGATATCGGTGTAACTTTTACTGAATATTACACTGCTCAATAATTTTATATTAAATGTGAATTTTATAAATCTAACTGTTAGATTGAAAGTTTTTTACTCTTAAATCATATATACAAAATTTCACATTAATTCAAGATAATTTGATACTTCATTCTTATAAAATAAAATTGACGTAATATATTTATTTTAAAATATACTAAAATATGAATACTTTGATTACCTTTAGGTTGTTGTTCAATTTTAACAAAATTTGATATACACATATAAAATGATATGAACTTTCAATCTAGCAGTTAGATTTATAAAATTCATATTTAATATAAAATTATTGAGCGGTGTAATACTTAGTAAAAATTACACCAGTCTAATTATAACCCTCCTCACACTCTCTCTATATATATATATATTAACGCATTTAAGTTGATTAAACTTGTTCTTTGTTTGTTTCACCTACTAAGGGTTGTCTTTGTCACGACTCACAACTTACATAAACCATAGATTTCTTCTTGGTTGTAAATATAAATATCTTCTTCGCACATATTTATATTTAATAAAAATAAAAATCAATTACCTTTATGGAATTTCAATTAAAAAAATCTTATACAATTATATTATTGTTCTCTAGAGCACTAAATTAAGCATAAAATATATCTAAATATATAATTTGTTACGGTATAAAGTAATAAATTAACTACAAGAACAATTTATAAAAATAAGTTAACTAATGCAGTTATTTTAATTTAACTATACTGGTTAGAGATGTTAAAATAACTTATTTATTTCATCAAAATAAAAATCTTAGAAATAAAAAATATAATTACTTTACCCAGATGCAAGATTTTTAAAATGCAAATTTTCAATTTTTTAACTAAAAAAATAAAAATGAAATAAATTAAAGCAATTAAAATTATTAAAATTTAAAAATCTTTAAAATTCTAAAACCCTTGGTCCGCACACAACATTAATGCTAAAAATATCTTAAGTGGAAACTTCATCCCAACTTTGATAAAGACATGATAATGATGTTAATTATGAAAGTCTACGCTTTTGTGTTTTTTATGTTTGTGCTTTGTGGTTAGAAAAGTTTATTTATGCACTAACATAATTCTCAAAATAAAATAATATTACAATAGTTTTTTAATCTTTATTTTTATGTAATTTATTTAGATTATCAATCAATTAAAAATATAATAATGTAATTTTAAAATAATTGTTATAAAAATAAAAAGTTATTATATATAATAATTTATTATTAAATAAAAATATAAAATTATATTTTTTTTTAATGAACTGTTGATCCAACGAGTTTTAGTAATTGGCCAGTTCATGTTTACATTAAAAAAAATTTGAAACATCCTTGAATATGACTCTAAATTTAAAGAATAAATTTGTGAAACTATGATAATTTGTGCAATGAAATTTTCAAGGTTTTTAAGATATGATAAGAATTTCTTGATTAGGGCTTTTAAGTATGAAATTAATATTATAGATAATTAAGCTTTTTTTAAGTATATGTTTGTAAGTGTTCAATTAATTAAGTATGGATATAGAGAAAATTTTATTGAAAGAGACAACATTCATTTTGATGAACACTTTCTTTTGAAAGAATTTGGCCTCTAATAATCGATCAAAATAAAACAATAATGTTGTAACAAGATATAGTATTGATAATCATTCAATAACTAAACCGGTACCAAGTTGATAATTAATACAAAATTGGTAATATTAACTGAGTTTTCTTCCAAAACACTATATCATGTACATAAGCAACCCTTTGTGCCACATCATGCCACATAAACTTTTTTCCACTTTTTTTTAAGCACTTAAGTTTCTACAAGCAACTTTGTTAAAATTTAAGTAACCCATAAACAATGAAAAGAGCTGATGTGGCATGATGTGGCACATGTGGTTGCTTATAAGTAATTCCCACTGCAGATGCTCTAGTAATTAAGATTTATGGTAATTTATTTTTGGTAACTTTTTTTTAAAACTTTTTATTTATGGTTTGAATATGTTTTTAATTTTTGTAATAAGTAAGTTTCAATTTTAATCAATGTAATTTTTTTTTGTTTTTCTTCCTTGTATATTTGAAACTTTATTTTTAATTTCTATTATTATATGATTTTTTTACTAGTTATATGTTTATTAAAAAGTTAAGTAACTATTCAAGCTAATAGTTTTTAATAATTTGTTAGTTTATGTTACTTCTAAATTTATTAATTTTATATACCTTAAAATAATCATTGATGACAAAAAATGATAATTTTTATATTTTACAGGGGTGAAAATCATATAAAAATATTATAGACTAATTTAAATTATAAAGGAGAAAGTCTTCGGGAAAAAAAAAACCATTAAACGCAGATAGAACCTAAGTTGGCGTGGCGTGTTTGGATTGTGTGAAAGTGAAACGGAGTTTGCATTCTGCGAAATTTCGTGACAACCAAATACAGGTATGATACAGCACATTCGCCATAGGTCTCATCGATTTCAGCATAGTATAAACAATTAAGTATGAATGGTATAAATGGGTTTGAAAATTTCATTTTTGAATTCATTACAAAAGAAGAATGATGTAGCTGTTGCCACATTGTGAAGTTCAAATTGTTCTGCAAAATGCTCCAATTCTTGTCACTAGTGTTTTACATGGAATTTGGACATATACTCAAAAACCACAATGTCAATGGTGACATTTCAACAATGGTGACAAGGCCACACCAATATGAAAGTCACTAAAATCACAAAACTTTTTAAGTGTTTAATAAATTAATTGCAAATACTATTACTTAACACAGGCATAACTAAGGTAAGTTGTTTGATTTTGTATTCAACTTTTAGATAAACAATTGTGTTAAATATTTAAAAAGAAAGTTTTGTTACTTTACATTAATCTTATTCCGTTATAATTCCAAAGCGTGTAGTTCAGCAGTAGGGATTGATTCACGCATAAGCAAGATCAGGGGGTTCAAATCTTGCCTTGTATATACAGTCGCATTAAATTTTGGGGCCAGCTATACCACCCTTTGAGGTACCTCCAACGTAGCAAGGAGATTAATCACTGCTATCGGCGGTGGATACTCCAGGGATGAACAAAAAAAAAAATCTTATTCGGTTATCGAGATATATAACCATTGAACTTAAAAACTAATTTCATTTATTTCTTCTTAAAAATGCTTAGAAATTAATAGATCTTATATACGAGTCTATATCAAAATTAATTGCAAAGATAAAACAAATGCCGGCTAAAGCTTGGTCCCCTTTGCCAACTTAGCATTCATTGAAGTTGACTTTCATTGTAGCTACCAATGTAAGATATCTCTCAAATCCAAACATAAAATAACTAGCAACTGTTTCTTTAATTTAACTAAAAGTTAAAAAAAAATACATAAATAAAAAGAGAAATATATAAGATAAAATTTAAAACTATAAGATAATATATTCATAATTAATTTAGGATGAAATACAAAAATTCATCCTAAATTCATTTTTCTCTTTTTTCTTTATGAGTTCTCAAATTCTCTAATTGCCAGTTCTGCTCCTCAAATTCTCTAACATTTGTTCAGTATTTCAGGTTGCTCATAACTGCGTCTGCAATTTTATACAACATATAGTTGAATTATGAAATAAAAGAGATACAAAATTTAAATCGACATATTTTACAACATATATTTGAAAATAAATAATATCATTTAAAATATAATATAATGTAATAAGAATTTATTATGAAAAACTATACATTTTAAAAAGAATGAAAGATAAGTTGGTATGATCCAAAGTATACCTTAAACCCATTCAAAAAAAAATATATCAAGCTTAATTTTAAGATTCAAACTCGTTCAAATCAATAAAGGATCAAATTTAATCCATGAACAGAGTTAGATCATACTTATCCGTAAACTCGCATGTTAGAGTAAGTTTGGTTAATTCAAAAAAATCAATTATAATTGGATTGATATTAATATAACTAAAGGATGTCTACAAGTCACACACCTTAATTACTATCTCTAAAATTAAAAAGATTTGAGCTATACGATTCGTACTTGAAATAAAATAAAAAAATATTTATTGTAATCCTCAGTTAAGTTTTCTTCTTGATGTATGTTTATTAATTTCGTTAAATTTTTGTCTATAGTAAGTGATTTACCAAATAAGATTGTAAAATTGTGCGAATTTTAACAAAGTATTTCATCTTCTTATAAATTTTGATTAATATTTGTTGTCTTACATACTAATAAAGAAAACTAAAACTTCAAAACTTGTTGATAAAAGCTTATCCTAGCCAAGTGGCCAACCGTGACTCTAAGCCAAGCCTGTGAATTGTGAAGCCACCATTTTGGAGATATCATGTATATCTTGGCCACAACAACCCAACTTGCAACTTGTCAAATTGGACTTTCTAACCCATACCTACTACCAAATCTTTTTTCATAAAAGATGTTGGGTAGTTGGATTTTGAAATAAATAGAGGAAGACCATTTTTTAATAAATATTTCCTAATTTAACAATTTTCTAATTATAAAAAAGTTGATGGATTTGCATAAACTTAATATCCTAATATTTGATTTATTCTTGTAAATATTATAATTCTCTTAATTAAGAAATAAATTTATTGTCTCTTTAAAATAAGTCAAAGGGAGGAAAAGGGCACCCAATTCCAAGGTCACGGTATATTACAATAAATTTGAATATTTCCAAAAGGAATTCATAATTTTTCTTCTATTCTTTAAATGTTTTTCTACTATTAAAATCATCCTAGTTTGCTTTAGCTATTGCATGGTTCTTCCTTTCAACAAACATTCTAAATGGCACTTAGGATAGAATAAGTTTATTCATAAAATAAAATTTTCTTATGCATAAGTTAATTTGTAAAAATTCTCTTACTATCTTTCTTAAAATATTATTTATAATTTATGTATAAATTAATTTTAATTATAAAAGAAATTTATTTTAATTTTTTGCCTTATTTTTTTCCCCTAGATATGGACAAGTTTAGGGA